GCAGCTGGAGGCACTTCCTACACATGTGGAGTTCCCACATGCCACACATTGTGCATGCAACCGGTCTCAGCTGCCCTGCCATATTCCCAGACATGTTTTATATTATTTTAACTTACATATTTTATAATTATGCACTTCTTTTCCCCCACTTCACCGAATTCCCACTTTCACCAAATTCCTTCACAGAATTCTCACTCTGTCCCATCTCACTCAGTTCCCTCTTCACGTTGCTGGGCTCTCTGCTCAAGGTGATAGACTGCAAAGACGAACAGAATAGGTTACAGGAGGATTTAAACACACGTGAGAATTGGGCAGATCAATGGCAGATGAAATTCAATGTAGAGAAATACAAGTGCTTCACATGGGGTCAAAGAATCCAGGAAGGGACTATTTTATTTAAATGGAAAGAAAATAATCTGTACAGAAAATGAAAAGCACCTGGGGATCCTGATTAATAATAAATTGAAGCTATCCCAGCAGTGCTTGGTGGCAGTGAGGCAGGCAAACCAGATGCTGGGATGTATTAATGGGGCAATATTGAACCGAAATAGTGGGGGAATCCTGCCACTTTATAAATCACTGGCACGACCACATTTGGAATACTGTGTGCAGTTCTGATCACCGCAATATACAACAACAACAACAACAAGATTCCATTTATAAAGCGCCTTTCACGTCAGGAGGACGTCCCAAGGCGCTGCACAGTTGGGTCATGACCCGAGCAGGGGGGAAATGGTCAGGGTGAGGGGAGGGAAGGGAGGGAGCGAGGAGGGTGAAGAGAGTCTAGAGGGGAGCTGAAGGCACGGTCAAAGAGAAAGGTTTTGAGACCGGCCTTGAAGGAGGAAAGGGAAGAAGCGGCGAAGGCACTGGGGGATAGAGTTCCAGAGCCTGGGGGCTGAGAGGCTGAAGGCCCGACCACCGATGGTAGGGCGGTTGGGGCGGGGGACGTGGAGCAGACCGGAGCCAGAGGAACGGAGGGTACGGGCAGGTAGGGAGGGGGATAGTAGGTTGGAGAGGTAGGAGGGAGCGAGGCCGTGAATGGCCTTGTAGGTGAGGATGAGGATCTTGAAATCAATCCTCTGGGGGATGGGGAGCCAGTGGAGGCGAGCGAGGGCGAGGGTGGGAGTGATGTGGTCCCGAAGCCTGGTGCGGGACAGTACACGAGCTGCAGAGTTCTGAATGACCTGCAGCTTGTGGAGGGAGGGCCGGGAAGGCCAACGAGGAGAGAGTTCCCATAGTCCAGCCTTGAGGTGACAAAGTCGTGAACCAGGGTTTCAGCGGCGTGAGGGGTGAGGTAATGCCGTAGTCTGGCGATGTTCCGGAGGTGATGGAAGGCGGTGCCAGTTGTGGTGCGGATGTGAGGGAGAAAGGACAGCTCAGGGTCGAACAAAACGCCGAGGTTCCTGACTGGCTTTGAGAGGTGGAGAGTGCAGCCTTGGATGCTGATGGTGTCAGCGCCTGAGGTGCGGAGGCGCTGACGTGAGCCAATCAGGAGGGCCTCGGTTTTTCGCACGTTGAGCTGAAGAAAGTTGTCTCTCGTCCAGGACTCGATGTCGGACAGACAGCTGTCAGGACATCGGGGGTCGTGGAGTTGAGAGTAGAGGAGGAAAGGTAGAGTTGGGTGTCATCCGCATACATGTGGAAGTTAACTCCATGTCTGCGGATGATGTCACCAAGGGGGAGCATATAGAGGGTGAAGAGGAGGGGACCAAGGACAGAGCCCTGAGGGACACCACATGAGACAGTACGGGGGGTGGAGGAGAAGCCATTCGTCGAGACAAAGTGAAGACGGTGAGAAAGGTACGACCTAAACCATTCAAGGACAGTGCCTTGAAGGTTGAGGTGGGAGGACAAGCGGTGGAGTAGGATAGCGTGGTCGACCGTATCGAATGCTGCCGATAGGTCGAGGAGGACGAGGAGACAGAGGGAGCCCTGGTCACAGATGGTCAGGATATCATTGGTGACCTTGACCAGGGCAGTTTCTGTGCTATGGGCAGCACGGAAACCTGACTGAAGGGGTTCGAAAAGAGAATGGGTGGAAAGGAAAGAGCGCAGTTGGGAGGCGACAACTCTTTCCAAGACCTTGGAGAGAAAGGGGAGGTTGGAGATGGGCCGGTAGCTTGATAGCTGCGACGCATCAAGGGAGGGTTTTTTCAGGGTGGGCGTGATGATGGCAGTTTTTAATGGAATGGGGACAGAGCCAGAGGAGAGGGACAGGTTGATGATGTCAGTGATATGTGGGGCAAGAAAGTGGAGCTGGGAGATAAGGAGTGGAGTGGGGATGGGGTCAAGGGAGCAGGTGGTTGGTTTTAGGGATAGGATGAGTTCAGTGACAGAGGGTGGGGAAACGGGTACGAAGGTGTGTAGGGGAGGATGGGTAGGAGTCGGAGTGTGGGAGGGAAGGGGTGGGTGGTGGGTGGAAGTTGGAGGGGAAGTGACCGCGGAGCGGATTCCCTTGATCTTGGATTCAAGGAAATCCAGCATCTCCTCGCAGTGAAGGTTGGAGGAGATGACCTGCGCGGGGTGGCGGGGGGGACGGAGGAGTCGGGTTGTGGTGGAAAACAGTAGCCTGGGGTTGTTCTTCGCCTCCAGGATTATCCTGGAGTAGAAGGACGACTTGGCCGAGGCTAGAGTGGAGCGGTAAATTTTGAGGAGGTCCAGCCAGATTTGTCGGTGGACCGTTAGGCCAGATTTGACACAGGTGCGTTCAGCAGCCCGCACCTGGCTTTTCAGTGAGCGGAGGTGGGTGGTGTACCAGGGGGAGGAGCGGGAGTAGGAGACAGTGCGGGAAGTGATGGGGGCAAGAGTATCGAGTGTGGAGGAGAGGGTATTGTGGAGGAGGGAGAGAGGAGAAGAGGGGTCGGTGAGGGTTGAAGGCCAGAGGGAGAGGAGTTCAGAGGACTCCAAGGCATCGGTTAGGGATTGTGGGGGTAACTTCTTCCAAGGGCGGTAGAAGATGGTGGTGGGTCTGGTGGAGGTGGGGAGGGGGTTGGAGGTGGTGAAGGAGATGAAGTAGTGGTCAGAGATGGCCTTGTCGGTAATAGTGACATCCGAGACACTGAGGCCCCGGGTGATCACCAAATCGAGTGGGTGGCCGTGACTGTGAGTGGGGGAGTTTATGTGTAAGGAGAGGTTGAGTGAGGAGAGCAGGGAAGAGAAGTCTGTGGAGATGGAGCAGGAGGGGGTGAAGTGTAGGTTAAAGTCGCCCAGGATGATGAGGCGATCGGAGCAGAGGCAAAGAGATGTGAGGAGTGTTGAAATGTCAGAGATGAAGGTGGGAGAGGTTTTAGGGGGCCGGTAGAGGAGGAGGATTTTAAGGGAGAGGAATGAGGGGTGGGAGAGGGTGAGGTGCTCAAAGGAGGGGAAAGAGCCAGTGGAGTAGGGGGATAGGGCAAGTGGTGTCCTTGAGATAAGGGCAACACCACCGCCACGGCGGTTGGGGCGGGGGATGTGGTGGGAGGTGTAGCCGGGTGGCGTGGCCTCCGTGAGGGGGAAGGTGTCGCCTGGGGTGAGCCAGGTTTCTGTTAAGGCCATGATATCAACGTTCTCATCAAGGATGAGATCGTTGATGACCAGGGCCTTGTTGCAGAGGGAGCGGACATTTTGCAGTCCGATGTGGAGGGAGCGGTTGACAGAAGGGTGTGTGGGAGGGGAGGGGGTCCAGGTTGTGAGGCAGGGGTGGGGGAATGGGGATGAGGGAGGAGAGGTTGACTCCCCGGGTCTGTGTCCGGGGTGGGTGGCGAGTGTGGTGGGGAATGGGGCAGTCGGTGTGGCTGCTGCTGGACAGCCAACGCCGAGTGCCGCGGTGAGCCCGGCGGAGGATTCCCAGGCTGGAGCAGAGGGAGGGTGTGGGAGGGTCAAGTGGGGATAGAAGACGAGAGGGACGGAGAGAGAGAGAGCGGGAGAGATGCAGAGGGGGGAGGGTTTGGGGGGAGAGAGGAGGGGGGCGGGAGGGAGGGGGTGAGGGGGCTCGGGTCAAAGCGGCAGCCATAGTGCGCACGCGGGGACCGGGAGCGAGCGGTCAGGTGGATGGCATTATCCCGTAGATTGGGGCAGCGAACCCAACAGGACCATAGTGGGCTCTGATGTGAGCCCTGGGGGGGGGGGGCGCAGAGAGTTTGTTTTTTTGTTTTTTTTGTGCGCGCGCACGTACCTGAAAACTATTCTATGACGTTGCAGTTCCCCCGCTCCGCCCCCCCCCCCCCCCCCGGGGCTGAACTCGCTCCGGCGTCGAGTTTAAGTACCTGGGTCAGTAGGCCCAGGCTCCTCCCTGCGCTGTCCTGCCGCCACTCCCCGACTCAATATAAAAGGATGTTGCAGCAATTGAGGAAACAGAGGAGGGCAACCAAAATGATGAAGGGACTGGACTACGAGGAGTGATTAGATAAACTGGGCAGGTTCACACTGGAAAAGAGAAGATTGAGGGGGATATGATCACGGTCTTCAAGATTCTGAAGGCACTAGATAATGTAGATCATGATAAATTGTTTTATCTTGTGCTGAACAGCAGATCCAAAGGACACAGCCTGCGATTGAAGCGGGGTTAACTTCAGAACAAATCTTCAGAAAAACTACTTCAGTGATTGTAGTAAAGTTATGGAACAGGCTGCCCAGGGAGACAACGGAAGCAGAAAAGGTTGTTTGTTTCAAGAACAAATTAGATAGATTTCTGCTATAAAATAATATCTCGGGACACAGTTTGGGCACGACCTGTCAAGCGACTGCCAGGATGGTGGAAGGCGAACTAGATGGACCTTTGTCTTCTTTCGCCAGTAAATTCTTATGTTCTTATGTACACATTGCTGTTTGTCAACTGCCTGCATATGTGTCTACAAAAGCAGTCACTGCATGATAGTTATTATTTTAAGGTTTTGAGATTCAATGTGGTGAGGTGCCTTAATGTGTTATTCCTTCTAAATGGGTTAAACTTTCTGTATTATAATAATAATAATGTATACAGCAGTGCGGATGAAGCAGGCAATGGAGGAAAAAACAGACTCTTCACAGGAGATTTGTTATGTTTATTACTTTCAGCCCCAAGGCATCAGTGTCAGTTTACAGTTCCAATCTGCCATCTTAATTACAAAAGTCATCTGTTCACAGTAGTGGGAGTTGAACTAATAACAGTGCACACAAAAAAAAATTGCACTGAATGTCAGCCCTGCTGTTTCTGTGCTAAGCAATTTTTTTTAACACAAGTAGTAAAGCGCGCAGTGAACCAATTCTGCAAACGTTTCAATTCAAAGGCAATCAGGACCAAACAAAACGGACACAAGAAAAAGCAGACACCGTGCGCTCAACAAAGCCGGCCAAACAGCCATTGATAGGCATCTAAATTCAGGTGGGTCAAACCATCACTTCTTTTGTGAAACAAGAAAAAAAACTTAAATATACCTCGCATTCCTAGAAGGAATCGTACTTAATATTTGGTTGATAATTTTTTTTGAAATGCCTCCTGGAATAAATTTTTTGGCAATCAATTAAATAAAATGTCAGCAATGTTTCCAGTATAAAATTCTACATTTCTAAATCTTCTCTATAATACTTGAGACAAACTGCTGGCAGCAGCGCCCTAGCCTGAACTGTCACTGGGACCCAGGTTGCAAACACTTTGCGTAACGTCTGTCACTGGTGAACATAAACTGGTACTGACGCCAATCGAAATTCACTGTGGACATTCTTAGGACTGAAGACAATGTTGATCGAAGCTCAATAAAGCAAAATCATACTGTTAACAATCACTGACCTAAATAACTCATGACTATCATTACCATTGTTAAACCATTCCTTTCAAGATGAAAAAGATAATGTTGGGACTGCACACTTTAGTCCATACGGGAGAGAAAATAAACATTCACAATAAATGTCACTGATAATACTACTTTAAAACAGAAGTGTATGCATAGGACAGAATGCTGTACTCATCAAGCACTGCAGTAAGAGAAATATTCTTTAAAATAACTCCAGGTAATCGGTGCACACATTTAGCAGCAGCTTATTTTGGCCAAGTTAAAATGAGTAAGGTGTAAGCACTGAGTACGAGGACAGCAAACAGCAGTACTTGCTGTTGACCTGCTATTATTCCCGTCAGTAATACTAGAGAAAGAAGGGGTTGTTTTTTGGAAACAAAGCTGGTGAGTGACAAACACTATTTTACTGAGGCCATTTTTAATCCATCGCAGCACAGTACATTCCACAAGTTTTAGGCACGGGTTTAGTAGGAAGTCCTTGTTCCCAAGAAATGTGTGTACTACAGCGAATGTTAAAGGAATAAGGGTTTATCCAGAAGAACACACTGAGCACTGAATGACCCTTTCAGCTCGATCCTCTAAAGCCAAGGTCATGGCACTGAATCTTTTATTTGGAATGCAAAATCCATTGGAATAGATTGGAACGCCTCAACAAAACAGACATGTACTGTATTAAAGCATTTCATACTAAAATAATACCTTAAGCCCAACTCTGTTGCACTCCACTAAAGCCTTGTGTGAAGATTCCTTTGACAGGGAAGATTTTCACTTTGACTCCTCACTCAATATGCCAGACCACAGTATAGATTAACCAATATGTATCGTGTATTGTGCCAGCAAATATAAAGATGAACAATTTCTTTGACAAGTAGCATCATAAACCATCGCAGTTTCACAAACTATTCTTGCTGATCTGTAGTAGCTCACATTCACACCCACCAGCAAGCTTCAACAACGTGGAAGAATTCTGACCAGCTCTTTGTACAATTGCCAACGGGAACAAAGTGATTCTCATTTGTTATCACTGATACACTCACACGTCCATTTCTTCCAAAGGTGCTTCACATCTCTGGGAGACCATCATTTCCATGTCAGACTCAACAGAGCGTTAGTCTTCAGGGTGAACTACAATTGGGTCCTGATTCAATCCTAATACACACCCGTTCCAACCATGAACTCCCAAGCCTTGGCTCTAGCCAACCTGCGCCTAATACTCTCCGGAATTAGGTAAGCAGGGTATGTCCCTCCAGCCATTCCATTCCAGAAATAGGGGAATTTCTGTGTAGAGGTGGCACGCATTTGACTCCTCTTAAGCACAGTGATGGATCTCCGCGTGTCAGACAGTGGCCGTGGGCAAGGTCAGCGACTGAGGATTTCCTTCCACAAATCCATACACAGCCACACTCTGAATAATGATTAAAGACATTAAAGTAACTAACAGGAGGTGCTGAGGACGTGTGAAATTCTCAGCCTAGTGCTCCATCTCTCCGAAAACATAAGCCAAAGGTCATTAGAGGTCATTTGTGATTCAACAATCTGAACTGCTGTAGTGCAAGCCGAGTCTCTGGATCCCTTTTCACCCATAAACACCACATCAGAAATCACTCAGACTATTCCTGCCAAGGTGGAGGTTTCTTATGAAAGAACCCACCCCATTTTGGGAAGAAACATGGCGATGTTTGCTGAAAGGCATTTGTGTTACGATTCACATTGGCCAATAAATAATTCAGGGCTGAGTAGAAATGCACATTACACCAATTACCTAAGAATTAGGAAACACTTAGAAATATATCGTCAGGAATCAGGGGTCGGTGTCCATAGTGGCACCACAGTGATGAGGAACTTTAGCCAAGTGACATTGTCAATGATGAAGCCAAGGTTAGATTTTAGATTAGAAACAAAGGGTGTGAGGCAGTAACTAGCTATTCTGTTCCCCCAATCGTTACTGGCCTAGTTTAACACCCAGTAATTAACCAGTTAAAGGACTGCACTGATTTAAATATTTTAGATTTTAGATATTTGAGTGACATTTGTCACTCAGAAACCTGTTGAGATGTTCACTGAGTGTCTCAAAACTGCTGTGCTAATATTTTTTAGGGAGTGACAGATAACAAGTGGGGGGGGGGGGAAGAGAATGACATAAACCAGCAGAACACAGCTATTCTCTGTTGCTCTGTGTGCAGGCACTGGACTATTGTTTGGACACCCAATAAGAAAAGGCTCTGCATTGCTTCCATCCCAGTGTACAACAGCTAGATTTGGACTACAAGGTACATCACGTTGACCATTGCAATACTCGTCAGCCAAAGTTGCTATTAATAACACTGGCAGTTGTACATAATACATAGACACGTGGATTGCTTTTCCACAAATTATCCATTAGCCTCGGCACAGTCACTAGACACGCGAGTCATCCACTGCAAAGCCAGGATAAATATTTTACTAATAGGACAAATATCACAGCAGCACTGATCTGCAAGAGAAATGCATAATATAACTGCAGACTGAATTACCTTGCTTCTGTTTCGGGTCAAAATCCCCAGTTACAATAAACATTCAGCACTTTACTCTAGATTTAGCTTAAAAAAATTAAACATTGCATTCACCAGACATTGATTTTACTCCATGGCAGGAAAGTGTAAGATAAGCTGGTTGGATAAAAATTCAGATAAATATACCACTTATTTTGTGACATCTTGTATAATTACCAATAGACTACATTTCAGTACGAAGACAATTATTTGGATGGAGCAAAATGAACATCTGTTGTGTCAGCATTTGTCAGGATTTACCTATTGATCTTAAACAACACGGAGAGGTTCACAGACCAGCATTGGGCAGCTGGCCTCAGTACACGAGCAATGACTGTGTCAGTGACATACGACCCAACTATATCAATATGCAGTAAAAAAAAATTTGGTTTGATTCAGAGCTGATGACGCACAACGTAAAGGAAAATGAGGCAACTCAGATTGGAGTCAAAAATGTCAGGAGTGTTTCTTTACAGGGAAAGTAGTGTCATGTCACAATTATTCACCAAACAGGACAGTATGTGCAAGTCATGGATAACCCACATGTGGTTGTAGGTGCTCAGGTCCAGTAGTCCCTCGTGATAATAACCTTCTTGAATATGACGGGCGTTTTCTTATGGCTTTCTCAGCAGCACAGAACCTGTACAAAACACCTTCTGTGGCAGGTACCCAGCACTGCAAGGTGATTTTGTATGGTTTCTGCAGACAGTATTATAAAGAGGGGCTACTGTTAATTCCTTATTCCTCGTGTATGTTTTCCTTCCTGTTCTTATTCGAAGGTCTCCCACTTTTTCCTGAGCTGATCCACTCGGGTCTGAGATGGCACCACCTCCTGCCGTGTTGCATTGAGCAACTCTGCAAATGGATCCACAGGTTCCCCGGGATTCAACGGCTGCAAAATCCCCTCAAGACTTTTGGATGGGTTTGTTGGGGCCAGTGGTGGCTCAGTCGAATTGCCTGCACTATCTGGGCCGAGCTTGGCATCCGCCAGGGCCACCTGGGCATTTGTCTTTGTGTAGCTGGCACCACCCACAGCTGCTGAAGAGTTTGCGCTCAGATGAATGAAGGTCCCGGATTGAGGGATAGCTGTGTTTGTACTGTACAAGTGGTTCAGGGATGGCGACGAATAGTTTCTTTGAGGCCTTGGGGGTTGAAAGAAACCTGAAACGGAAGGCAAGAAGCTTGAAGTGAAAGCAGAGGCTGAAGGAGCAGGGAAGTGAGTCCCAGAGGGCTGGTTCTGGGGAAACTGAAGAACTGCTGGAATTGCCTGAGAGAATGGGTAGGATGTTGGATGTGGAAACTGAACCACTGATCCTGGGCTGGATTTGGAGTACGTGAGGTTTGGGCTGAATGGTAAGGATGGCGAAGGCGTATTTATTCCAAGTTCCACTCGCGATGAAGAGTAAGCAACAGGTGCAGTAGACAAAGGTTGCCCAAGTGCTAATGACCCACTCGGTGCTGAAGACTGGCCGCTGTCAAGGCTGGGACTGGCACTTAGTGGATCCAAAAGACTCAAGAGATCATTTCTGCTGCCGGTCTCTGCACTGACCCTGATGGGTTTTAGGATATCAGCACAGCAAGAACTCGCTGAAGGCTGAGGTGAGGAATTCTGTGACTGTCTCAGGTCTGACCCTTCGAGGTTCTTTTCAGTTCTGAACGACTCTTGTAACATTTCAGAAGCCAGTTCAGCGCTGGGGGTGGCTGTGTCCAGCTCACAGCCGTCCTGTAACACTGTCGAAGCTTGATTCGTCCCGGCAAATGTCTGCTGCTTGACTCCTCGAGAAGCAGGCAGCGGAGGTGGAAGAACAATTCCCTTTTCCGCAGACTTCCTCCCCTGAGGCCTGGGGATGGTGATGTTGCTGATGTTGAGGTCTGACGTGGCCTGTGACATGTCCCTGCTTGAGCCCTCCCCATCTGGTTCCGTGTACAAACTACCAAACGATGAATTATTGACTGATTTAATATCGAGAGCCATGTCGTCCTGACCCATGCTCCACAGTTTGCTGTGAGGCAGAGGGTGATGCAGTCCCAATGACATGGTTTTGCTCTTCTCAGCTGATGGCATTCCTTTTCGCTGCAAACATACACACAGTAAATGATTAATTTATATGGTAACAGTGACTTGTTACTGGGGCACCAGGGAATCTATATAAAGATCCCCAGGTAATATTACACCAGAGTCAGTAGCTGTAGATGTTCTTCAGGAATTTACACTGAAGGGAATCAAAACCTCAAACAGGATCATCAGGAAGTGGGGTCGAGACCAAGTGCTGTAATGTGAAGACTGTAGCTATAGAGTCTGGAAGGATGGGATCGGATGGGTGTGCGGGCGCAGTGAGCAAGGGGAGGCGGCGAGGGAGGGGGGCAAGGGAGGGAGGGCCGAGGGAGGGGGAGCGAGGGAGGGAGAGTGAGGGCGTGGGAGGGAGAAGAGGACCAGCAAGGGGTAGGAGAGAGGGAGGGAGGAGAGAGGGAGTGGTGGGCCAGGGAGGGGAAGTAGAAGCAGGCTTTCACATCCCCCCAAATAGTGAGAGCAGACGGGACCAAAATCGATGCCTCAATTGAAGAAGAGATGAAAAATCTGGAAATAAAAAACAACTGACATGGAATCCTAGTGAGTAAAAGACCAACCTGATGTCCAAATGGGTTTGCCATCTCTCCCTCCTCTTTGGGGGTCCTCAGGTCCTCCATGCTCTTCGCTTGGCTGAGCGGCTGGTGCTGTGAGGTGACCTTTAAGCTGCTGAAGATCTCATCCAATATGTTGACGTCCACAGTCCTGCTGGACACAGCAAGGCTTGGGAAGGGCTTCCCCAGACTCACAGCTTCGCTATCAGCGACATCAGACTCCTTCAGTGTTTTGTACGGTTGAAGCCTAACAAACGGGTTAAAAGAAAAATTGATTCATAACAGCATCACTCAGAGCTGTCATAAACTTACACAAAGTCCAATTCTCACCCCGCCCCCCAACCCCCACACACCCTTTTTTTCTGTCTTACATTGCCAACGGATTCCTTAATTATGAAATCTGGAAGATCAGGCCTCCGACTTGTGGGAATGCTTCCACTGCAAAGTATTTTTGAAGTGGATTAAGTCTATCGTTCAGCATGAACGTAGCTTTACAATGACAGTCAATGGGCGAAGAATTCAACTGAGGGGCTACAAGAGATAGAGCAATGTAGGACAGTTTGGGTTTTACTTTGGAGCAGCAATGGTCTTGTCCAGTCCTGTGCACTCCGATGTCACAGTGCCACCTGCTGGGCTTTCACACTCATTACACCTGGTGTTTGATGCATTCGTAACATTGAAAGGCGGAGATTTTAATACTTGGCAAAGCGTATTATGAGGAGGTCCTTTCTGGCTGAGATCCCCCACCCCACAACACGCTGAGTCTCTGGTAGGTGTGTTCCGCCTGGCAAAGGGGAGGACGGACACTAAAACCTCTCGACTTGATAGAAGATTGATTCTTATCGCCCAGTGTGTTGTTACTTTTAATGACTCTGGCCAACATAAATTCAAGCAACTCAGTGGTGTTTTCCTAAGGCGTGTGGCTATTTCAAAGCTTTACAAACAACCACAAAGTGTAAACCCGAAACATTAGTTAAATGTGCACTTAAAATAGACAAAATGCCATTTGTGACTTCTTCCTATTAACATGATAGAATCACCGACAAGCAAGACAGAGAGATTAGTTTTACTGTATGCTGTTTTTCACAGTTAGTGTAAGTAAAACATTGGGTGCGTGAAAAATTCATATTAAATTAGAGCGCAAGGTTTTAGGAATGAAACTGAAATAAGGAGGCAGATCAAGATTTTGGAAACTTAAGAGGTTGCCTACAAATACACAGTCTCTGTATATTGAGGTGTTCTCCTGACATGAAATCGAAATCGAACCCAGGAGGAGCTAAACCTTGGGCAAGTTTCCTCAATCCACATGCCTGATAATAATCCCTCAAGAAAACAAAACAATAATAAATTGGTCACTTCAATCCACGACTTTTTGTGGGACACTGCTGTGTACAATTGGCTACTGTGTTTCGCCCACAAATATTCAGTCAATTCACTTTATAGCATATTCTGTGAAGCGCTTTGAGAAGTCTAGAAGACGTCAAATGCAAGGATTATTGTTATTATCAATGAGGCATTGACAATGTCTTGCGGACTTAAACCCCAACTACCAGTACTTTTCAATTTTCAATTAATTATGAAGTCATATTTTTATTTCAAGAATTCTGTGAAAAACCTCAGTACAGTGATGTTAAACACAGATAAAGACATGCAAAAGTTCCTTGAAGAATAGAGTGTAAATCAGAGAATTAGTCGACCATTCAAAAGGAGTGGAGAAGGGAAAGTTTTCAGTGAAGGCAAACACAGAGTCCTCTTCATGGTGAAGCTCATCATCAGAGGAATCCTCAGAAAGGAAGACCGTATAGTGCCGGGTAGGCCTCACCACGCTGAAGAAAACAGGAAGAAAATGGTCATTTTACTTACTTTCCCTGAACATTCAAGCAAAGGTTTCACGTACACTGCATGACTTATCTTAGACTTACAGCACAATCTTTTATATCCCTGTTAGTTCCTGGAACTGCTAAGATAGTGACTATACGTACAAGGTGTCACAACAGAAACGGGTCGCTATGTACCCTGGACAATCTGAAACATTTCCCTTCTCTGACATCACTCATTTATTCCTCTAAGAAACACAAACAAGACAATCTATGGATGCGCCACTTCTTCTCAACACCACAACCTCGCTAGTCTCTACAATTCACACAACACTGGAGTCTGTTTTGTGGTGTCCTCTGCACTGTCTCTAGGACCTGGGCGGCTCCTAATCTCATTGTTTTGTTTAACAAAAGCAAACGGACCAATATTGGGTTCAGCTCTTACAGTGAAGGTGTGGAACCTGGTTCCAGTGAGCTATCATAGTTGACCAGCATGCCCTTGGTTGTATTTACCCCCAGACGCTAAAGTTAGAATTGTGTATCATATCCAGCCCTGCACTGGATGTCAGTCTGGCTCAGTTGGTAGCACACTCGCCTCTAAATCAGAGGATGTGAGGTAAAGCCCCTTCTCAGGTCTCTGAACTCATATTGTCCAGGCTGACACTCCAATGCAGTGGTGGGGATGTGCTGCATTGTTGGAGGTGTGCTTTGGATGAGATGTTAAATTGAGGTCCAGTCTGTGCCTGTTCAGGTATAGTTTAAAGATCCCATGGCATTATTCTTTCACTTATATAACACCCTTCACACAGGTTAGAGTGCCGGAGTGCTTAACAACAACAACAACAACAAGATTCCATTTATAAAGCGCCTTTCACGTCAGGAGGACGTCCTGTGGCATCTACTCCAAACCGAGGGGAGGGAGTAGTTGACACCGTCGAAGAGGAAGATCTTCAGGCGTGATCTGAAAATGAGGAGGGGGCAAAAACAGAGGGGAGTTTCTCCCAGTGTCCTGGCTAACAATTCCCAAAATAAAATTGGTAATTGATTTCATGGCTGTTTGCAGGGTGTTGCTGTGTCGAAACTGCCTGCCACATATGCCTAAAAAACAAACCGACATACACATATATTATAGTAAATCCTGTGAAGCGTTTTGAGACGTCCCCTCCTGACATGATTAGGCGCTGTATCAAATGCAAGGATTGTTATTATTTATTTATCGTTCAGCACTAGCGCAGGCAGAAGTAATGAGGCGTTTTGTGCTGCAGCAATTCTCAATTCCAAACATTCAGGTCAACAAGATTTTCCTGGGGAGACAACGAGGAAGATGGAGCGACACTGAAACTCTTCAGGGCTCAGAGTGTCCTGTTTGGCCTGTTTTAAACAGGAGAAACAATAAGTGGCAAAAATAAGTCACTGTCTTGGTTTGTAGAGTTTTCTGACTGTTCCTTGTTACTTACTTTGTTTGGTTGACGGATGACTAGAATTATAATCTCAAGAATGCTCCCCCCCACCCCCCAACTCCTAATTAATCTGATTCAGTGACCCATTCTGACGGCTACCCGCTACCTGCCTGGATATCACACAGAGGGAGCTGTCTGTGGGAAGGCAGGTCACAGCGAGTGCTGGTACACAGCAAACAACCGTAGAAGGGAGAGAGAGAAAGAGAGAGAGCGAAAGAGAGAGAGAGAAAAGATTCTGTCCGTCTCAGCTGTTACCGTCATCAGCTCTGCATGACTGCATCAGTTCCTGCCTCTAATCCCCCGCCTGAGTCGCAGTGAGAACGGCTGGCCCTCGGTTTTAATGCCTAGTTATCATGTCCTCGGTTAGTGTTACTATGTGACAACGATGACAGCGTAGGCTGTTCCTTGTTAAATATCATGTCACAAAACGCAGCCTTACACAAACTAAGATTCGCTTCACGGCTCGCGATGCTGTGGGTTTGTTCTAATGAGGGAAGAGCACATCTCCAGGTCTCTCTGCCAGTCAGCATGCATTAAAACCACAGCGCGTTTCAGTCAGGGGATTAGACACGGAATGTGACAAATGCAGATGGGTAAAAAAGGCAAATTGACACCAACAAAAAAATAAACAAATAAGAACTTTCATTTGGTTTTGGGGTTTATTTAAATAGAAGCTCCGACAACCTGCTAGAAAGTGGTTAATTTGCTGCAATCCAGCCACCAAGGTTGCCAGTCTCATAAAATGAACTAACATGAATAAATAAAGTGCAGGACGGACACTAATGTAATGTGTTCATGTTAAAAAGACAAGGAATAAAAACTGCTGCAATGTCTTAGTGTTATTTCTGGTCACCTCTCACACTGAGACCCTGAAATTCTACTTAATCTTAGCCGGTGAATCCATTTAGTCTGAAAACGTGAATGTAAGATTTGTTGAACAATGCAAATGTCTTCAATTCATAAACCTTTTTTTTGAGAGAAACACTCAAATTAAAACTGAAATAATTTTCCACAATTCTGCACAACTTTAAACTCTAAGGCTAATGGGCTAAGGCGTGTGGAATTTCAGGGTTGGAGTGGGGCTCACAGTGATCTGTATGTCCTTGTACGTACAGTAACATTGCAGTATGTAATGCGGAATTATGTGGCACTATTGCAACACAAAGATTAGAGATTGCGAACACACAAATCTTTGACAAGACAGCAGATCATGTGAAGAAATGAGCTCCTGTCTCTTCTGTTTGAGAGGGGACGAGCGACCCGCAGATTATTTTCGGTTTCAGGAATGCTCATTAAAGCAATGACCGACCTCAGAGAAAATATAAAGATAATCTGTGTTAATTTCGAAGATGAGGGATTTAAAAATAAAAAAATAAATATTTTTAATTATGTTCAAATTAAAACCTTTGAGCTCCCATGAGTAAATATGCCTCATGGCGTCTTGTTGACCCAAATAGACTGGAAAGATCCGAGGATTGTTCTCTGATCTGTACTGAGCTTGCTGATCCCATCCAAAGCAGTCTACAAATTAGCCTTTGTGTCTGTGGGCGAGGGAGGGGGGGGGGAATATAGCCAGTGCTCCTACTCCTGGGCGCTACCCTGGAAAGTGCCGTATGCCAATGTCAGACGAGGACACAAGCAGTCGCAGCTCTGATGTGACGCTCTCTTCCAATGGTTGACCAATCTGCCAACACGCAGTGGCTTTAGTTGATGTGATCTTTTCACTAGGACCTTAGTGGCCACTGTTTGGAAAACAAGCCTCACTGTCCCTCATACACATGAAGAAGCTATCAGAGGGCTGAGCCGGGGTTCCATCATGGCTCGTGTGCTCAACAGAGCGTCAACAGATTTAATGTCCAAGATTCCATTCAGCACAGCGACAGCACATTGCCTACCTCGCTTGGTGACTGACATTAGATGGGATTCTGGTACGAAATCTCAAGATTCACCCATATTGAGCCAGTAGCAGTTAATGCTGTGCCTCGCAAACACGCTATAGGACAAGTGACATCACAGCAGCAGAAAACCCATACGAGTCCTCAGCTTTTTCCAGTGAATTAAAACTAGCCTCCAATGTAGTCGTCAACTTTGTCAATAATCTATTCTGCAACTTGAGGAGGTGAGAGTTACCACTGGGCCGGGCTGAAAGTGCTTCCACTGGGCCGGGCTGAGATGAAGTTGGGGGCGTTAATCTGCTGCACGGCTGATCAGTGCAGTATTGGCCAACACTCAGCTTTAAAAAAACACAAAAAACCCTGGTCGAGGATTCTCCACTTTGACAAATGAAGAACCGTGCGGAATAAATGACAATGATATTAATATTCACTGCACTTGTAATTCGTACAAATTACAACAGATTAGAAAATACATCAGGATGAAAGAAAGAGTCAGAACGATTCTAACTACATTGTAAAAGCAGCATCAGAGTGTAATTAACATGCCTGTGTACATGGTAAATAACACAATCTATGTTTCCATTCTGTGGTGAAAGCTGACTTTTGTTCTGATAGTTGAAAGGAATAAGATTCAAACTGCTGACAGCAAGACCATCTCTCTTTTCTCCTCAGTACAGAATCTAGAGTCAGAATAACTATTGTAACATAGACAAAGAGCGAAGAATCGCTCCCAGGTTATTAGTTTGTTTCTGGAGCTGCTCTGTGTGGTAGTATGCATGTCTGTCCACAAGGAGGCAGTATAGTTCTACAGCAAATTACAGTTAAATATTTCACTGGAGATTACAAAGTCATAGAATCATAGAATTATACAGCACAGAAGGAGGCCATTCGGCCCATCGTGTCTGTGCTGACTGTTTGAAAAGAGCTTCCAAATCAACCCACTCCCCCACTCTCTCCCCATAGCCCTGATCAGCCCCACTCCCCCGCTCTCTCCCCATAGTCCTGATCAACCCCACTCCCCCGCTCTCTCCCCATAGCCCTGATCAACCCCACTCCCCCGCTCTCTCCCCATAGCCCTGATCAACCCCACGCTCCCGCTCTCTCCCCATAGCCCCGATCAACCCCACTCCCCCGCTCTCTCCCCATAGCCCTGATCAACCCCACTCCCCCGCTCTCTCCCCATAGCCCTGATCAACCCCACTCCCCCGCTCTCTCCCCATAGCCCTGATCAACCCCACTCCCCCGCTCTCTCCCCATAGCCCTGCAAACTTGTCCTCCTCAAATAATTATCGACTTCTCTCTTAAAAGTTGTTATCAAATCGGTTCCCACCGGCCTTTCAGACAATACATTCCAGATCCCAACAACTCACTGTGTGAAAACATTTCTCCTCACTTCCCCTCTGTTTCTTTTAACAACTATTTTAAATCGGTGTCCTCAGGTTACCGACCCACCCGCCAGTGGGAATAGTTTCTCCTGTTCACCCTATTGAATTCTCTCATCATTTTGAAAACCTCTCTTAAGTCTCTGCTTAACCTTCTCTGCTCCAAGGAGGATACCCCTCGCTTCTCTACCTCTCCCGATAACTGAAGGCCCTCATTCCTGGTACCATTCTGGTCAATCTCCTTTACACCCTCTCCAATAATAATAATAATAATAATAATCCTTGCATTTGATATAGCGCTTTTCACGTCAGGAGGACGTCCCAAAGCGCTTCACAGAACACACTGTAAAGTGAATTGACTGTATATTTGTGGGCGAACGCGGCAGCCAATTGCGCACAGCAATGTCCCACAAACAGTCGTAGATTGAAAATGACCAATTTAATTATTGTTTTTAGTTTTGGAGGGATTATTATTAGGCGTGTGGAGTAAGGAAACTTGCCCAAGGTTTCGCCCTCTGCCTGGAATTGAACTCAGGTCTCTCGCTTACAAAGCGAGTGCTCTAACCACTGAGCTACAGGACTCCAATGCCTTGATATCCTTCCTAAAGTGTAGTGCCCAGACCTGAACAGTCTGTAGCTGAGGCCTAACCAGTGTTTTATATAAAGGTTCATCATAACTTCCTGACTTTTGTATTCTTTGCCCCTATTTATAAAGCCCTGTATCCCATATGCTTTTTTAACAGCTTTATCTGCCTGTCCGGCCATCTTCAAAGATTTACTTATATGACCCCCAGGTCTCTCTGTCCCTTCACCCCCTTTAAGATTGTACCATCAGCGTATATTGCCTCTCCTCATTCTTATCCCCAAATGCATCACTTTGCATTTCTCCACATTAAACTTCATCTGCCCCGTGTCTGCCCGTGTTACCAGTCTGTCTATGGTAACTGGGCCGGGCTGAGATGAAGTTGGGGGCGTTAATCTGCTGCACGGCTGATCAGTGCAGTATTGGCCAATGCTCAGCTTTAACAAAACACAAAAAACCCTGGTCGAGGATTCTCCACTTTGACAAATGAAGAGCCGTGCGGAATAAATGACAATGATATTAGTATTCACCTCACTTGTAATTCGTACAAATTACAACAGATTAGAAAATACATCAGGATGAAATAAAGAGTCAGAACAATTCTAACTACATTGTAAAAGCAGCTTCAGAGTGTAATTAACATGCCTGTGCAGTATGTTGTGACTGTGCAAAGTATCGACTATCAATCTTAGAACATTTGAATGTTCAATGATTGGTTCACAACCACAAGGCATTTTCATTTACCACAATGATATTTTCTAGATTTGCCATTAACGTTAGTTTTTCACTTTGTAACGGTCCAAAAATTCACATTGGAAAACACACGTGTGATTTTGAAGGCGATGCATGAAAACATGTATAAATACTGAGAAATGCAATGCACCTGCAAACAATTCTCTTCACATTATTGATGATGACTCAAAGCAAAATTTCTTCATGACATTAAAACAATTCTATGCACTGCAATCCACAGCAAAACTATATAAAAATACTCAGTGGTCAATTTACTGTTTATTGCTAACTTTTTTAAAACAAATCTAAAACTGCAACAATTAAGCTACCTGTCAAAAAGATATCCCACCTCCCCACCCCACAGTCAGTCAGTCAGTCAGTCAGTGAGTGAGCTGTTTGCTGCCACTCTCTCAGTGCCCTGTACCCAATGCCCCATTGGCTCAAATAAGAGAGCGAGCGGCCAGCTCTCAGGCCTCTGAGGGAACCACACATAGGAAGACGCCAGGCTTCCCAAGACCCCTTTGGTCTCCGTCTCCCAGGGTCACAATAACAAATGTAATATAGTTATTGTAATAACTATTGTTTCCCGCTCCCAGGGGAAGCATTTCATCAGCAGTGAGTTTGATAGCCCACCTGAGGTCAGCAGCTGCAGATGCCTATAAAAAACATATTCACTACACTTTACACAGTCACTACACTTTAATGAAGTGTTTTGAGGCATTCCTCCAATGTGAAAGGCGCTGTATCAAATGCATAATTATTAATAATAATAATTATTATTATTTATTCAGAGGCTCCGGTTTGAAAGTAAAAATGTGAGGTCAGGGTCAGGCTTGTGGGCATCGTTGCCTGGGATCACACTCGGGCAAGAGGTTAGTGCGTCTGTACCCAAGTGGAGAAGGAAGAATGAGTTGATCAGTTTCTGGAGAGAAGAGGAAGAGGAGAGGAGGAGGAGGTGAAGACAGGAGATGAGGAGAGGAGAGGAGGAGGAGGAGGAGAGGAAGAGAAAAGGAGGAGGAGTAGAGGAAGAGGAGAAGGTGGAGAGGAGGAGGGGAGGAGAAGGTGGAGAGGAGGAGGGGAGGAGAAGGTGGAGAGGAGGAGGGGAGGAGAAGGTGGAGAGGAGGAGGAGGAGGAGGAGGAGGAGGGGAAGGAGAGGAGGAGGAGGGGAAGAGGAGGAGAGGAGAGGAAGAGGAAAGGAGGAGAGAAGAGGAGGAGGAAAGGAGAAGGAGGAGAGGAGGAGGAGAGGAAGAGAAGGTGGAGAGGAGGAGGAATATGGAGGAGGCTGGCTTACAGAAAGTAGCAACGTGGATGTGGATGATGAACTCAGATTTCCAGCCTGACAATGAGTTGAATCATTAAACCAGGTTAGTCATGTCCACGATTTCTTGTGTTTAATCAGAAGTTAATGGATTCTGCACATAAAAGTAAGTAATAGGTACAAGCAGGCAGACAAGTCCTCTGCACAGCGTACACATCAACAAGGCCTGGCAGTGCAGCAACACTGCAATGATCAAAACACAAAAACAAGTGTGGAAGCCGCCTGAAAGAACAAATAACAATTTACAGCCTGAACTGCTCGCTTTATTATGACCGAATCCACCACAAGATCCGCCTTCAATCACAGCCAACACACTGTGTGCTTCACCAATTACAACTGTACATTCCAACTGCAGACCCAATGCCCAAGTCCTTTCCCAGAATTACCATCTGACAAAAACAAACACTCTTTATTCAGCTGCAAATAACACACCTTCACCGTGGGCCCTTCCTACACCACACAGCATCCAACTGATCAGTCCATTTACACTAGTCACTCTGAGCAGCAACTCACTCGCTGGTTCGCTGGCTCGCTCGCTCACTCAGCATGTGCTTGCCCACACCTCAGTTGCACTTTCCTCTCTGAGCGTCAGGAAACTGGAACAAACCAGACTTTCAAAACCACAACAACAACATGTCTGTTACTCACTGTTCAGGGCTCGACACGGACGGTCTGTGAGCTTCTGCTGGTAATGCGGTGCCTCGCGGTCTCTTCACCACCAGGGGTCTCGGGGGTCGGGCCTACGGCACAGAAACGTTGTGTTAGAAATGTTCACATTAATGGCAATTTCACGCAGTAACATATGAAACCTCTGATGTACAACTCGGTTACCAGACCGTGCCTGAAATAGCTGAGTGCTAACGGTCTTTGCTGTGAGGAGAGGAAATGTTTATATTTGTCCCATTATATTGTGTTCAGGAGCTCTGCTCTCTGCTCCAAAGCCACTTCCATCTCTCTCTCTGTTCTGTGCTACAATCAACTAATCCAGGGGCTCGGAGATCATATCCTGTGTGACGGGCGCTATGTAAATGGCATATAATTGCAATACAATGCCACGCCACATAAATGCATGTTGTTGTTGTTGTAATTCCCTCTTAAATGAGGGAATGAGTCAGGACATTCACTCTGATAGATGCTGTATGGTAATTACATTAGCAACAGTAAGCAAGCAGTTTCCAATGTTGTCTTCACAATATAAAGTCACACTCTTAACAAGGATGCCAAGTCTGTACACGAGTCTGGGTGCAACAATGCACAGAGACAAGATGTACAGTACTTTTAACATCCCAAGTTAAAGTCATGGAATGAGTAGCTCTGTACGTCCTCGTTGAACACAGTCACTATTTAAAGGCAATTAAGTTAACTAACAAGTAGCATGTGGCGTCGAGCTAACACTCGATCAGGAATTTAGCCCAAAGGTATAATTATTACCAAAATGTACAAACACTGTCTAAAATAACTATTACCAAATAAACTATGCTTAGCGCTAGTGCAAGCCATAAAATATACATCAAGTCATTTAAAATTTAATGATTCAAATTAATTTTGAAGTTGTAATCATTAAATGGTTTCCTCTCTTTACTTGCTGATTCCACCCCTCCCCTCCCACAATCTCCGACACCTACAGGTAGTGTGTTCAGCTGACAACTGTGCCCAGAGCCAACTGATGTACCTGCAAGGGGAGGGAAGTGCAAAATGGGATGCAAACCTCCCACTTACAACAACAATTTGCATTTACACAGCAACCCTCACGCAGGGTAGTGTCTCAGAGCGCTTGACAGTGGCGGAGCTTGACGCCCAGCTGAGGTCATGCTCCACCACTGTCCAAACCCATCTGCTACAAAATTTCATAACCACAGTTACTGCTACTGCCTCCCCCCCCATCATCCTCTTTCATAGTTCAATTTTTATCTCCCCCCCCCCCACCCCCCCACCTGTCAAGACGTTTTGGCCTGTTTTTTCAGGTACAAAAACTAAAACCCATCATCAGGGATCAAACCCGGCCAAAAAGAGCAGCTTAGATCGAGGATGGGGATAAATGACCTGTTGTGAAACGCTGCCTGAGAAAACGTGGGACATTTCATTTCCCAGCAAAAACCTCAGGAGCAACAAAGGCAGTTCCCGAAGTTCCTGATCAAATTTCCTTTTTAAGTACCATGGATAGGTAGTTAAAAAGGAAAAATGTGCAGGGCTACGGGGTATGGGCTAAGAGTGGGGGAGTGGGACTAGTTCAAACCAGCTCTTTCAAACAGCCAGCACAGGCACGATGGGTTGAATGGCCTCCATCGTAAGATTCTATGAAATTAGCTGAACTGACCATTCACTATGCTGAGAACCAGGAGCTGACTGGAGCAGTACAGCTAACCAGCCTGATGAGTGCCCAAAGACTGATCTAAAGAGGATCCGGATCATGTGAGAAACAACCCATTTTGCTGGTTAAAAAAATCAATTTTAAATTCACTGGAAGTTGTTCTGATTCAAAGGAAAACTACAAAAAGGAAATGAAGTGAAGCATTCACGGGTTTAACTTGGTGCAAGAATTCCACAAAGGTGGCCCAGAGGGGGGTAAAGCTGTGCGGAGCACGACCTGGGGGCCAGTGTGTGCGGAGAATAGGGAGGGGCCCGCAAGGGCAGATTGTGAACTTGCCAAGGAAGGAGAGCCCTCCGCAGACAAAGCTGCCCTTCCTCACAATACAGACAGCCTGAAGCTTGTGAACCCCTCGGCAGGAACAGAAGGATTAAGTTTGTGGCAAGTTTGCCTGAACTTGCAACAGGGAGGATGGGAGGGAGGGGGTTGGGGTGAGGAGGGAGGGGGGGAAGAACAACAGAGCTAATTAGCAGAGCTGAGCTGTCAGTGCACAGCTTAATGGCTCAGTGCCAGCAAACAAAAGGAGAGGCCTGGCAATCAGCGGGATCGATGGAAGCGACTGCTTCATTAGGGATGATAGAACGAAGAATGAAAAAAAAGAGAAAAGAGGCTGTTTAATTAAGCTTGAGCTGGAAGGTGATGCGTGAAGCTTGCCTGTCACTGTGCTGCTAATACTTTCACCCTTCCACCACAGCTTTGAAAAGCTAGCAATCGCCCCACTCGTGTCAGCAACACCAGATCCATCTGGGGAGAAATGCAGAGGATCTTGGAGCCGTAGCCTAAAGGGACCTCAGTGGAAAGTCAAAGGGAAAAAGAAGCGAAATCCCATGGGGTACTGAACCTGACAAATCCAACCCGGGCAAAAGCTGAATCCAATGTGAACCAGGATCAAGCGCTCGCGTTTAATCATTATTAAACAAGAAATTCAAGCCTGCATGTGTATAAAACGCCGTCATTTACCAGCATCGTGTAAACTGCAGTTTATAATAATAGTACAGTACTTTCTAAATAATGAGCCGAAGATGTGCAAGTAACAAACACTCCAAATATGCTGGCAATTAACTCCTGCTGGGTCATGTACTAAAGCCATAATCACAAAGGCAGCTTTTTGTTGTGGAATTGTGGAAATAAATAGCATGCGGCTCTTTACTGTGATGCTAATGATCTAACGTGGGGACAAGTGTTGCATTGGCAATGCTGGGTTTACTGCAGGCCCTGTGAATGACGGCAGCTTCCCAATAAACCCTGAGGCCTTTCCAGCAAAGGGGAATACACAGTCACGCTCTGCTACAGAACAATCTTTATTCACAGGCTGTTTTGTGTGTGAGAGAGAGAGCGCGAGTCTATGTGTTGTATATATGAGAGAGAGAGAGAGACAAAGAGAGAGAACACAAGAGTCTGTGTGCGTTTGTGTGTGAGAGAGAATAAGTGCACAGAACTAATTGTAAAACTGCGTTTTCATAGCCTGACTATGATTATTGATGAATGGATAATAATAATCTGTCCATTTGATCCAGCGCCTTATCACATCATTGAGATGTCTCAAAGCGCTTCACAGGATGCACTGTAAAGTGTAGTAACTTTGTATTTTGTTGGTTTAAGCGGCAGCCAATTTGCACACAATTCCCAGTAACAGCACAGGGTGAACAACCATTTATTTATCTGGAGGATTTTTGGCCAGGACAGTGGGAGAAACCTTTTTTTTTCTAAGTGATGCTACAGAATCTTTAATATCCACCTGACCAGGCCACAGTCTAGACAGTCAGCTCAAAGTCCCTGATGTGGAGCTTGAACCACAACCTTCTGACTCAAAAGGTGAGAGTGCTCCCACCTGAGCCAGGCCGACACCTAAAAAATTATCCAAAATATTTGGATCCATTTTAATGGAACCACATGAGCTGAGCAGTAAATAACAAACCACGTGTAGACCACGGCATAGGCTGCCAGAGGGCAGCAACAGCTGGCTGAACACAGTGACATGTCAACACCAGCCAGGTTATGGAAAGTATTGTGAGGTATGGAAAGATATACACACAGTGTTTACAACAATATGAAATACGAGGAATGTGATCAAGTGAGAATTGATGTTGAATCGGTGCAGTCGGTGAGATTTCAGTCTGGATGTTTATGTGTAAACTGTGGCCATGGAGTTGATTTTTGTTTTGTCCGTTTCTGTCCATGGTCCCAGATTGTAAAACACTGACCAGTCCATTGGTCCATTGGGATATTTCTGTGAACCTTGGAAGCTTCAGGCATCTGAAACCATCACAGGTTCAAGCATTCGCAGGTATTATAGAGAAAATTACCACAAAAGTAGACAGAAACAATGGATCGGTTTCTCTGAACGATGAACTGCATGCACACAGAACACAGGGAAGCATTGACAGCCTTGCTATACCCTATAAACATTGTAAGTTACTAAATAAATACGCAATTAGTCCGATACAAAGGTTAGATAACCTCTGAGGATACGTGACATGCGTGTTTTCCTGTGTACAAACATGCAGTGGAAGTTAGAGAGGTTTTTCGCCGCCATGTTAAAGAAACTCACATATTCAAGGCACTGACGTTGACTACAGCTCTGGTAAGACAACTTAAATGAGCAGCATGTCTCCAGGAAGTGAAGAATCCCACTGTTGTCTCCAGCCTGCACCAGTCGCTGTCAACAGCACCAAACCAAGGAGACTCGAGAGCTGAGAGCTTGGTGAGAGCCAGAGAGGTTCCAAAGAGACAGACTTTAGCATAAGAGAGCTATTGTGCCAGACCAGATAGCACAAACTGGGGAAACAGAAGGTAAGTAGTAACTCGAAAGCAAGGCAGGCAGTGTTAAGCGTGAGGAGTTGGACGAAGGCTGTCTACTCACTGGCCGAGTGGAACGCCTGATCTTTGGAGGAGGCGGGCGAGTTGGCGGAGTTCTCTCAGGCTGTAGCAAAGTGGAAACTTAAAACATCAGAACACAGGCAAGTTTGATTAAACAAAACACACACACAAGTAACTGTGCTGACTTCCCAGTGTTCATCCACGCGTTAGCTTGATACTTGTGTTTACAGTATTGAGAATTCATTTTCCTCGGTGTGCACTGACCACAAGCACTCACAAGGACATTAAACTTATTAAAGAATACGTTTAATGTTCCTGACTGTCACTGTCACAAAGCCGCTTTGTTTATTTAAGGAGATTTGAGAAGACTGAAGAACCAAACTGTTCGGGAACTTAAACCACAAACCAGACAGGAGTTTCACAGACCTCAGCAAAAAAAGTCTCACGTAAACCGTGCAACTTACAGCAAAGAAGATGGCTGTTAGGTCAATTTGGCTTAAAACTAGTGCTTTCCACTTTCACTAAAGGCTCCAGATAAGAGTGCCATGATTTCTATTCAAATACAGCACACACATAGAGCGAGCAGCTCTGTGCTAGTCAAAATAGTGGGGTGTAGCACTTAAATCTGCCTGCCCTGCACAAATTCCCACCCGCACTTATTTCTAAACCATTGTGTTAAGAATGAATCCCCCCACCACCCCCCATATTCACAGACACACAATATGCCTCATAACTCACACCTCAACAGGAGGAAGCGTTTGCTGAAGAAGAGCACTTCAGTGCCGCAGGCCCCTCGGCAGCTCAGCGCACAGGACAAAGCTCCTCATTGTCAGTGATGTCAGGTCACCCAGTCCCGGTCAGACCTGCAAATGCCACCTTCACATTGTGGTCAATGAACCGAGGCCAATTCAAAGGGCCTATCAAATGTCTCTTTACAAGCTGTCTTCTGTTTTAACCACGTTCGTCTGTCTCACTCTTGCTGTACCTGTCTGTATTTATGGGGATGACCTGCTTAAGCTGCTGTCTGCTGGCACACCAAGTGATTGTGTGCAAGGCTCGGTCATTCATGGTCAGCAGTGAGGCCGTCATCGTCTCCCTACAGTTCATCCAAAACAATGGCGGCTCTTAGTGTGAACCCACGCAGTGTCCGTCCATGAGACACCGGCCAAAGACATGGCCACAGAGACGAGGCCTGAACATCCGAACTCTACATCAGAAGCTCACTTTCCTCTCCGAGGAAGCAGTTGGTCAGCAAGACAATACTCTAAGTGACGGGCACTATAGGAACCAAGCTGCTGTTGTTGTTCCACAACTTCTCAAAGAGGGTTCTTCTTAAATAAATACACAACTTGAGCACTTTCTGTTGAAATATTCTTTGCCATTTGGAGGGGCTTCAGTGCAAGGTTTTAATAAAGACTCCAGCACAGTAACAGGATTGCACTCTGTGGCTCTGGGCTGTGTGGAATTTATTTAAACAACAGGCTTTGGCCATCGGGAACTTCCTAAAGTTTCAGCATCAAAGACTTTGGCGGCTTCTTCCCTGTCCTGCAGTCGAGTGGGCGTGTAATTATATTTTCCTTATACGCCACCTCAGCCACAGTCAGCAACTCACAGAGAAACACGTGTGGGATGCTCTTGGACTTACACTGGAGCAAGTTTCTAGCCCATGTTCATATTACTAATAGATTCAAAATGGCATCACATGTGCAGTTGGCTTGTTAACCCATCCTTTTTGTAAGGCCAAGTTGGGGGGTGGGGGGAGAAATGTTCCTGGGAACTAGCAGAGTTTAAGTTGTGGAAATCTGTGCCTGTGTTCATAGATTGTTTGTCACTCACGGGGGTTGTGGTGGTGGTGGGGGCCTCCACATGACAAGATTCCTGCCCCTGGTGACTACACAGCGCTTGTGCCTGGGTGCCTGGCGGGGTGCTTGGTGGGATGTGGCGGTCTGTGTGTGTCTAGAGTGTCTATGTAGGCGTATTTGTGCAATGTTTGTGTGTGTGTGTGGGTAGGACCTGCCTCAGTACTGAAGGATTGTCTCTCTCTGTTCCCACCCCCCCATCTCCTTTCCCCATGTACTCCACTCTTCTCCCTCACCAGCAACCAGTGTGAGAAGGCACAAGGGCCAGTCTTTAACCGGACAAACCGTGAGCCATTAGATCTCATTACCGGTGTACAGGATATTACAGAAAGCACCTGCAACATATCCCACTAGTATTGGTTAGTCAACCACTTACTGTCAGCACGAACAAATCACCTTACTTCACTTTTTTCCCCTTGAAAGTTTTTAATTAGTGGTTGACAAATGCTTTTTCATGCAAAAAAAAGAATATACATCAGCAATAACAGATAAATAGGTCAACATTGTCTTTTTCTTCAGCCTTAATCTAGGAATGTCAAAAAACACAGGGAACATGCAACTAACCAATTTGTACCAACCACACACCAGTCCTGTACTGTCGTTTTGACAGAAGTGACATTTTTCCCACTGCTCAGAACAGAAATCCGCTGATATTTTTATTCATGGCCACGCGTGGACTTGTAATGATCAGCTCTGGCCGATGTGCTTACTGAGCAGCCCTGCCTGCAGCCCTGGGAGAACAGAACAAACAAGCAGCGGAGGCCAACAACCCAAACTCCTTATTAAACACCATCAGGCTTCCTAACGAAAGCAACTCCTAGAAATTCAGGGCAAAAACCCCCTCAAGGACACCTTTAGCACACTACGCCTGCAATAATGAACAGTGAGGAGGAGAGGGTTATTTGACCTAGTCTTTCCCGTGTAACCATTTAAATGTTGGTGATTTTACATGTTTAGCTGCGCACTCGACCAATTGGAACTAAAACACAAAATAATTCTTAAAAAAAATACTTTCAAAACGAAATTCAAAGAACAATCTTTTATAATAATAATCCTTACATTTGATATAGCACCTTATTATGTCTTTTAGACGTCTCAAAGCGCTTCACAGAATGGATTATAAAGTGAATTGACTGTGTATATTGTGGGCGAATCCTTGAAGAGTTACACTGCAGTGTGAGACAGCAGAGTTGCAAAATATTAGTAGTGCTCCACACAAATGTGTATTTCTCTGCAATACTTACACACAACGTGCCTAAAAGCTGCAGTTACACTGCAGTCATGTCAGCGGGGCTCAGTTGACAGAATCTCCCATCTGGGTCAGAGAATGTGGGTCTAAGCCAACAAGTTGTTGTGGTTGACTCTTGTCTATTTGTTCAGGTGCACATTAAAGACGTCATGTATGGCACTAACCATCAATACTACTGAACAAAACCAGTTATTCACTTTTGTGGCACATTGCTGTGGACAAATTGGCTGCCCATTTCACTCACAGAATACACAGTCACTAAACATCACAGAAATACTCGCTGAAGCGACTGAGATGTTTTGATGTTACATCAAATGCGAGCATCGTTATTAGAGAGTGGAGTCAACGTAACACCAAATATCGCACTGAATCAGCCCCCAAACTGCAGTAAACCTCTCCCAGCCATGCGCTTGCTGGCTTGCTACTGTTAGTGTTCTGTACCTATAACAGACGAGGAAGGAAGGAAGGCAAAGTCATTTTGACACAACACACTCTCCCGATCTTTGCAATACTAAAATATAGCATAAATATCCCCGAGCTGGTAGGAGACAGGCTTAGATTCCTTGTTTGATTTCCATCCCTGTGGAAACCCGACACCTTTGTGCCTCCAAGGACTTGCCCTGCTGCTGTGGCTGACAGGCCCTGTATACCGCAGTGGTTTCAAAAATCAAAACATTTGACTGAACTAAAGTGTGAAGCAGCTTAGCATTTTCATACAACGCCTCCCCCTGTTGTGTGCTTACGAGGATTTGGGAGGAAAAGTCTAAGTAAATAAACCTTCACTCAAGGAATATATAATCGCTCGGCGTTCCGGAGTGCTGGATCAAGCTCGACCCAGAACCATTTGGAGCACAGTTGTGTTAGCTGCGGGGTTGCACGGTAGCTATAACGCACGGCTCGTTTTCAGAATGTCGGCAGAAATGAACACCGCCAATCTTTGCATCGATTGTAACCTAAGATCAACTGAACCGACTGAGTTCAGTTACTGAATGTGCTAGAAATTCATTTATTAATTAATACAATTAAAAAGACAATAAAAAGGGTATTTCTGAAAGCTGTTATTATTATTAATTAATAATCCTTGCATTTGTTATAACTCCTTATCACATCTTTCAGACATTTCAAAGCGCTTCACAGAATACACTGTAAAATGAATTGACTGTATATTTGTGGGCGAAATGCAGCCAATTGCACACAGCAGCATCTGACAAACAGTCGTGGAATGAGTGACCAAAGCTACAAAGGGATATCTGTCAATTGAAACAGATATCGGGAGGTGCTAAAATGTCTCAATGGTTTTCACTGCAAATTAACATCAGGAAAATAATTTGGTTGGCAGGCGAGTGAGACTTTACTTTTCAACAACTCACCTAAGATTAACTAAATATTTCAAGAACTCTTAACATGAAACTACAAATCAGAGGAAATTAATTCTGAGGAGGAATAAAATATTCCTTTGGAGTAGATATGGAGCGCCTGGCCCTACAGAACCACACACGGGTGATCTGATAAAATCTGAGGATCATATCAGCAGTGAGGTCTCTCCTGAACCCCAGGCATATCTCATCCCCTCACTGTGACAGGTCTGCCTTAACCTCAACTTGACTGGACATCACTGACTGCAATATTGCTGGGCACAATTACTGATGGAAGCAGGCAGGCAACACTTGTAGTTTTCACAAAGCGTCTGGTAATTGTATATGTGTTTAAAACAAATATACATTTATATTATTATTATTATATATGGACCAAGCACAATGGTTAGCTTTGAGTCTATGGGATATCTGTAAAGTGGCTTCTTAAATGCCAGGAAAATCACCCATAGTTGTCCCCGAAAGGCCTTACTGGAAGCTGACATATATTCTTTTTGAAAAAGGATGTTTCATTTTCAAAGTGGTATTGACATTCAGATAATGAGTGTGGCAGGCCTACAGAAGGTCATAGTTTCAGCTGTGCGCGGGTGTGTAAATGTGCAAGTGTGTGTGTGCGAGTACATTAGTACACGAGTGTGTAATGTGTGAGTGTGTAATGTGCGAGTGTGTACGTGTGCAAAAGTGGGTACTGGTGTGCAAGCGTGTACATGTGTGCAACTGCGCAAATGTGTGCGCGTGTGCAAGTGTGTGCAAGTCTGTCAGTGTGCTTGCACTTGGGTGCTGAAATTAAGTAAAAACAGAATAGGCTTTCTTCGTGTTGCTGAATCCAAACAAACGAGTCCTCTGACATTTGAGCTGTAAATCGGAGTTGCCCGGTGATAGAATTTAAAAGAATGCAAAAACAGCAGCAGGAACATTTCAGCTTTTTGTTGCTTTGCCCCCAACGCCCCACCAGCCTCAGTCCCACAGCACCAACCCCCCACCCCTCACACACAGACACACACACACCCTTTAGACAAACTGACATGTAATGTAGGAGAGCATGGAATGTAGGAGAGCTTTCAGAAGGCTCAGTTACAGGAAGCTGATTAAGAATGTTCAACCAACTGCAGACCTTTACAGCAAAAATAAATAGACTTTATGCAAATGTGTTTGTCACTTTGACAGCATGTCTCAATTAAGGCATCTCACTGCTGTTGGTTAGATCTTCTTCTGCGGTTGTATCACCAAACCTAATGTATCAGAGAAGCACGGGACCTGACCCTAATCCACATGCATTTTTAAACTTCTGTAGTGCCTGTGCATGCTGAGATGGCGCTGGCAGATGTTTTAAGCAGTTGACAAATGATGAAAAAAAACACAGCCTCGTCTCATCATCTGCATAAGGAAAGCTTTAAAATATTATAACGGCTGGTTTCGGCTGCTAATAAACTATGCAATTCAAAACTAGAATAATATTCTGTGACTGGGATTTCTTTTCCAGCTGCTTCCAAACCTAATGCCATTTACACAATTTCATTTACGTTTTATTAAGTTGCAACATCGCTAATATCTGTGGATTTCAACAAACATAACTTCACACCAGCTTTCAGAAAGAGTTTCCCCACTAACACTGAACTTTTATATGCAACTCACATTAGATATATTTATTTTTACGGCAGTCAGCAAAATTAAACAATTAACACATTTTAAGGGGAAAGTCACTCTCTCTCTTTGTCTCTTTCTCCTGAGACTCTCCGTTCCTCATCGATTCTCATGCATGTGCTCCTCGAAATCTTTATGTCACATGTCTGTGTTCCCCTTCTGCACATGTCTCTCCCCTCCCCCCATCACACACACATTCTCTTATGTGGAATAATCTTACTAACACTCGCTTTTTATTCTCAACACTCTCCTCCTCTCTAAAAAATAATAAAATACAGTTTTGCTTTATGGATCTGGCACGGATCGTTAAAATAGCCCAGCAACAATTTTTAAAATTGCTTATTAAATACCATCAATGGGAGTCAGCTCCCCCCACCCCCAACGTAACACTGAATTCTAGACTCTTGCAAGAAAGGAAACAAATTGTGGAGTCCTGTAAGGTAAAGGGTAGAGCAGTGGCCTTGCAAGCAGCAAGGCAAAACGGGCAGGGCAAAACATTAGACACGTTTCCTTACTCCACACATCTTTTTTTACCTAGCAGTAAGTCGGAACCCGCTTGTTAGTCAATTGGCGGATCACTTTCCAGGGGTAATAAACCCTTCAAAAAATAAATAAATAATTTGGTCACTCAATCCACGACTGTCTGAGGAACACCGCTGTGCACGATTGGCTGCCACATTAAACCCACAAAATATACGGTCACTACACTTTACAGTATATTCTGCGAAATGCTTTGATATGTTATATGTCCGATAGAAGGATTATTAGTCTAATAAAGTGATTGTGTACCTGTCCAAAGTGCACGGTGATGGGCCGTCGCTCCCCTCGCTCCTTCCCCTCTCGCTTCTCTGGCAGAGGTGAGGCCACGCTCCTCTGCTGGCTGCTGTCCTCTGTTGCTGCCGTGTAGCCGTTCTCTGCCATCTCCTGTACGGTAGGAAAAGATGATTTGTGCGGCCGGGAACATTCCTGATTCAGGGTTAGGGGCACAGAGGGAAAACTACAGGATAAGGCTCTCTAAGCAATTCAATTTCAGGAAAACACAAAACAAAAAAAGTACAAGAAAATCAAAGTCAGTGACATAGTGATCACCTAAGGTAGACAGTCATTATTTTATTACACCTCCTGCTGCTGCTGCTGCGTAACATCATAGAGCGCGAGGCAGGAAGAATAATTCATTAATCAATGATTAGCGTTTCTCACTGCAACCCAGAAGCTCAATGAATAGGCAGCATTCAATGTGCCCCAGCCAGCTTTAACCAGACCGGCACTACTGCAAATACAGTAACTGCTACAGCAACAACAACAAATTACATTTATACAGCGCCTTTCACATCGAGAGGATGTCCCAAGGCGTTGGACAGTCAGGAATTTTGACCCGAACTGGGGGTTGGGATCAGGAGGAATGCAGGGCAGAGAGGGTGGAAGACAGGGAAAGTAGTGGTAGGAGGGTGATCAAAGACGCAGTCAAAAAAGAGGGTCTTGTGACGTGCCTTGAAGGAGACAAGGAAGGGAGTGAGGCAAAGGGACTGTGGGATGGAGTTCCAAAGTGTAGGGCAGAGAAGCTGAAGGCCCAAACATCGATGGTGGGGCAGGGTGGGCAGGGGATGTGACGCAATCATACAAGGAAATTAAGATGTTGACAACATCCAGCTGACAAACTGTTACACAACTTCACCTTTTAATGCTCAGCTTGCAATGGGATTGCTCACAAGATCGTAAGAAAGGTTAGGATGAAGATGGCTCTTTGGCCCATTGACCTCATTCCTCTAGAATCATCACCATCTTCCCAGCATAACATCAAGTGTTTTTTCTTAAATGAGTCCAAAGCCACAACAACCTTTGGCGCTAACCCCACACAACATAATAAAATACTTCCTGTTCTGGGTTTCACAATCTCTTTGAGCATCTTCTCATGATATATGTTGTACAATCAAAATCAGATGGCCTCTGAATTGGTTGATTTAAAAAGTCCTTGATTTCAAACCAGGTTGATCCACTTGGCTCTGGATATCTTTTGTGGGCAATAAAATAAACAAAATTTAAAAGAAGTATGAAACCTGCATCCTTCGTTCCCCCACGGTCACCACACCAAAAAAAAAGTCTTCAAATGTGAGACATCTACATTAACAATATGACATTATGTTTCGATGGAGTGCTCCTCAAAGGGCCATTAAACTCAACGTTGTGCTTTACTTATCCAGGCAGATTTGAGACTGAAGTATGGATGGAAACAATGCAGGTTTTGGGGTTAATAGGACCTGATATAGTTCCCAGGACACGGTCTGTGTTAATGCATTTTGAAGTATGGCTGTAATAGGATTTCAACAGTCTCATATCGATCAGATAATGCATCCACTGGCTGAGTATTTAATGCAAAAACCTTCAAAGGCAAAAAAAAAAACTACCTTTTGCTTCAAGCGATTTTTCACCTCCTTTATTCCCATTTTCGCGTGATCTTTCGCCTAGAATTGAAGAGCAAGATTCGATTTAAAACTTTCTTTGTGGTATTTTCACCCGTCACCCCTAGCAACAGTTTGGGCTTTTAAGCAGTTCTATCTTTGTCACTTTGCAACAACCCTGAAGTAAGAGGAGAAAATTTGAGGCACAAACAGCGGTAAACTTTGAAGCACAGTTGTTCAGTTCATCATTTCTCCAGAGGTTATTGTGAAGTTAATGTTTTGAAACTTTGTGTTCTACAAGTCGTCTTCTATTCCTTCATCCCATGTCATCCCAGAACCCAACAATGTACATTTATATAGAAACTTTCACAAAGGATCAACGTCTCATAGAATCATACAGCAGAGAAGGAGGCCATTTGGCCCATCGTGTCGGTGCAGCTCTTTGTAAAAAGCTTCCAAATCAACCCCACTCCCCCCGCTCTCTCCCCATAGCCCTGATCAACCCCACTCCCCCGCTCTCTCCCCATAGCCCTGATCAACCCCACTCCCCCACTCTCTCCCCATAGCCCTGATCAACCCCACTTCCCCACTCTCTCCCCATAGCCCTGATCAACCCCACTCCCCGCTCTCTCCCCATAGCCCTGATCAACCCCACTCCCCCACTCTCTCCCCATAGCCCTGATCAACCCCACTCCCCCCATAGCCCTGATCAACCCCACTCCCCCGCTCTCTCCCCATAGCCCTGATCAACCCCACTTCTCCTCTCTCTCCCCATAGCCCCGATCAACCCCACTCCCCGCGCTCTCCACCAGCCTTTCAGGCAATGCATTCCAGATCCCAACAACTCTCTGTGTGGAAACATTTCTCCTCCCCTCCCCTCTGTTTCTTTTAACAACTATTTTAAATCGGTGTCCTCAGGTTACCGACCCACCCGCCAGTGGGAATAGTTTCTCCTGTTCACCCTGTAGCTGAGGCCTAACAAGTGTTTTATATAAAGGTTTATCATAACTTCCTGACTTTTGTATTCTTTGCCCCTATTTATAAAGCCTTGTATCCCATATGATTTTTTAACAGCTTTATCTGCCTGTCCGGCCACCTTCAAAGATTTACTATATGACCCCCAGGTCTCTCTGTCCCTTCACCCCCTTTAAGATTGTACCATCAGCGTATATTGCCTCTCCTCATTCTTATCCCAAAATTCATCACTTTGCATTTCTCCACATTAAACTTCATCTGCCCCGTGTCTGCCCGTGTTACCAGTCTGTCTATGTCCATTTACAGTCTGTTACTATCCTCCTCACTGTTCACTACTTTTCCAGCTTAGTATCATCTGCAAACTTGGAAATTGTACTCCCTATACCCAAGTCCAGGTCATTTATACAGATCAAAAACAGCAATGGCCCCAATACCAACCCCGGGGGGACACCACTGCAAACTTCCCTCCAGTCAGAAAAACACCCGTTCACCATCACTCTCTGCTTTCTGTCTCCCAGTCAGTTCTGTATCTGCTGCCACTGTCCCTTTAATACCGTGGGCTTCTATTTTGCTTACAAGTCTCTTACGTGGCACTTCATCAAATGCCTTTTGAAAATCCATATAAACTACAACAACTGCACAACCTTCATCCACCCTCTCCGTTACTTCATCAAAAAACTCTATGAGGTCTCAAAGCGATTCACAAAACCATTCTGTTCACCATCACGGTGAATGCAAACCTATGTGGTGTAACTGCACACATGGCAAAGTGTGGATTACGCTGCTGTTTAAACAATGCGTTTATGGGGCCTTCCAATGTTTCAGAGCTTTCCCACATAGCTGATGGGCAGAGAAACCTGCTGTTAGTAACGCGTTGTCTTGCTATACCCTTTTCAGACACTTTCTAGCTGCTTACACACCCCATCAGAAGCAGCCACACATCTCAGTCCCTCAGCAATATTCAAGAGGGGAATCTGTTTACTGCTACACCCTGAACAATTCCTCAAACTCCACTTCAACCTCATGGGTTCACTTGTGCTAGATGCCAGAATTAATATTTCATTGGAAGAAAAATAAAGCTTTTTAGATGGTTAATAAACATCTCGACTCACAAACTTGTAGACGGTCTTCATGGCAGGGTTTGCTTTGGTCTTCATGGTGTTTAGGATAGCCCCACTTCCTTTCTGTTGAGAGAACTGGGCGTTAATCCCTGCATGTGTTAGCACAGAGGCCGCGATTACAGGGGCTTGTAGAATAACACAAAGAAAACAACACATTTTATTTACAAACTAAACAAATGGCAACATTATAAAATATTATACAGGACAGATTATATCAATACAAGTATCTCAATAACTCCTAAAGGAAATCAATGCTTTCTCTCGGATTTCAGCCCCTCAACTAATAATTCATAATAACCTTCACCTTCCATCCGGGCCTGGGCAACATCTCAGTGACCACTGTTCAAATTTTAAGCGCCTCAGGGTATTTATGCAAAGAGGGAAAACAAGAAAGGGTGAAATAGGAACATAGGAACTGGAGGAGGCCATTCAGCCCCTGAAGCCTGTTCCGCGATTCTATTAGAACATGGCTGATCTGTACCTCAACTCCAATTACCCGCCTTGGCCCCATATGTTCATTGTTTTTTTTAAGTCAATCGCTGTGATGACCACCTCATCTTCAGCTCATTCTCAGGGAGAGAAGGTGTCCATTTATTAAGGCTTTGCTACTATCAGCACAGTCCACTCACCTTCACTGTGAGCAGCCACTGGTGATAGGATTTGTCACTTCCTACACACAAGAAAGAAGACTTTTTATTTGCAAAATCAAACAGCAATATTTAGGTTGAAGTGTTCCTTACTAACAGATCCTACAAGACAGGTAGATAAGCATCTCACTCCCCACACAGGGAGCAGTGTGGCCTGGGTGGAGTTTTGAGGGTAAGGACATGCAGGGATGTAACGTGTTGTCAGTGTTTTAGCCAAATGTGTGAGGCCAAGGGAAATGAAGTCATTGGCAGCAGCAAAACACTAAAATCCTGTGAAGCGCTTTGTGATGTCTCAACGACGTGTCAAGACACAAGAGCAAACGCAATGCTTCATCATCATCTCAGACCAAGCATATTAGACTTCTCAAAACAATAATCCTCCCGTCTGACACAGCGCCTTTCACATTGGGAGGACGTCTCAAAGGGCTTCCCAGGATTCAGTGTAAAGCGGAGTGACTTGTGTGCTGTGTGCAGTGAGATGACAGCTAACGGGGAAGCACAATCACTGCTACTTCACAGAATTATACAGCACAGAAGGAAGCCATTTGGCCCATCATGTCTGTGCCGGCTCTTTGAAAAGAGCTTCCAATTCAAACCCACTCCCCCACTCTCTCCCCATAGCCCTGATCAACCCCACTCCCCCGCTCTCTCCCCATAGCCCTGATCAACCCTACTCCCTCCCCACAGACCTGCAAACTTGTCCTCCCCAAATAATTATCTACTCTCTTAAAAGCTGTTATTGAATCGGCTTCCACCAGCCTTTCAGGCAATGCATTCCAGATCCCAACAACTCACTGCGTGAAAAAAAATTCTGTTCACCTCCCTTCTATTTCTTTGAACAACTATTTTAAATCAGTGTCCTCGGATTACTGACCCACTCGCCAGTGGGAATAGTTTCTGGTACCATCCTGGTAAATCTCCTTTGCATCCTCTCCAATGCCTTGACATCCTTCCTAAAGTGTAGTGCCCAGAACTGAACAGTCTGTAGCTGAGGCCTAACCAGTGTTTTATATAAAGGTTCATCATAACTTCCTGACTTTTGTATTCTATGCCCCTATTTATAAAGTCTTGTATCCCGTATGCTTTATTAACAGCTTTATCTACCTGTCCGGCCACCTTCAAAGATTTACTTACATAAACCCCAGGTCTCTCTGTTCCTTCACTCTCTTTAAGATTGTACCATCAGCTTATATTACCTCTCTTAATTCTTCCTCACAAAATTCATCACTTTGCATTTCAGAAAAACAACAGTTCACCACCACTCTCTGCTCTCTGTCTCCCAGTCAGTTCTGTATCTGCTGCCACTGTCCCTTTAATACCGTGGGCTTCTATTTTGCTTACAAGTCTCTTATGTGGCACTTCATCAAACACCTTTTGAAAATCCATATAAACTACAACAACTGCACAACCTTCATCCACCCTCTCCGTTACTTCATCAAAAAACTCTATGAGGTCTCAAAGTGATTCACAAAACCATTCTGTTCACCATCACGGTGAATGCAAACCTATGTGGTGTAACTGCACACATGGCAAAGTGTGGATTACGCTGCTGTTTAAACAATGCGTTTATGGGGCCTTCCAATGTTTCAGAGCTTTCCCACATAGCTGATGGGCAGAGAAACCTGCTGTTAGTTGTCTTGCTATACTCTTCTTCATCAAAAAACGCTATCAGCTTTGTTAGACACAATTTCCTTTTAACAAACCCATGTTGGCTGTCCTTTATTTACCCATATTATTCTAAGTGAAAATTTATTTTGTCCTGAATTATAATCTCTAAAAGTTTCCCCAATACTGACGTTAGGCTCACTGGCCTGTAATTCCCGGGTTTATCCTTCTGCTCCTTTTTGTGCAGGGGAGTAATATTTGGAAACCTCCAGTCCTCTGGCATCACCCTGGTGTCCAAGGAGGATTGAAAGATTGTGGCCAGAGTCTCCATTAAATCCACCCTTACTTCCCTCAGTAACCTGGGATGCATCCCGTCTGGACCAGGTGACTTATCTACCTTGAGCACAAGATAACTTATTCTTTATCTTATCCAATTTCTCTACTCTTTCCTCCGATACTGTGGCATTGGCTGCATCCTCTTCTTTTGTGAAGACAGATGCAAAGTACTCATTCAGTACATCAGCCGTGCCCTCTGCCTCCACAAGACGATTTCCTCTTTGGTCCCTAATTGGACCCCCCCCACCTTTGACTAACCTTTTATTCTTGATATGCTTATAAAATACCTTACGGTTCCCTTTTATGTTACCCACTAATCTTTTCTCATACAATCTCTTTGCCCCTCCTATTTCCTTTTTCACTTCTCCTCTGTACTTTCTATATTCTATTTGATTATCTTCTGTATTTTGGACCTGACATTTATCATAAACTTTCTCTTTCTGTTTTATTTTAATCCCAATTTCCTTAGTCATCCAGGGAGGTTTGGATGCCCTACATTTCCCCTTTGTGGGAATGTATTTATTCTGTCCCCGAACTATCTCCTCCTTGAAAGTTTTCCATTGCTCGTTAGCTGTTCTACCTGCCAATCTTTCTTTCCAGTCCATCTTGGCCAGGTCCCTTTGAAATATAATATACACCTACTAGAGTAACAGCTCCTTTTCTGCTCCTTAACTCTAACCAAATAGATTCTGTTTTTGGACCCTCTAGCACATCATCTCTTTCCGTGTCTTTAATCAATATTGTCACCCCCCCACCCACCTCCTTTTTTTCCTTCCCTATCCCTCCTGAATACATTGTAGCCAGGAATATTCAGCTCCCATTCCTGCCCTTGTTGGCAATTCTTGAGGCACGGGCACTTCGTATAACCCTGGAGCTCCGCCAGGAACCAGTCAGGTTGTTGTGTCTGGAACAGATCAATTGACACCCGTCGCAGTGTGAAGACGGCGGGTGTGAATCAAACAAAGCTTTGCTCCTTTTCCAATGGCTCTCGGCCAGTCCAGCCGTCAGCCAAGGAACTTTCATGGGCTGCTTTTTAAATTAAAAAAATGCTTCCCTCTCGTCTCAAGCTTTCATTACAATCTTACTTAGTCTTTGCTGGGTTCTGATCTTAATTTCATCCAGTCTTTCCTGTTTTTGTTGTCAAAAATAATTTAATTCGATTTTAATTAATTAATTTTCCCAGCCCAGGTTCCAAGTAATAAATCGTTCCCTGTCGTATCTAAAACCACACTAAACTGGACCCGAAAGTACAAACATCCAATCAGTCTAACATAGACTAATGTTGCTTACACACACACACACACACAAAATTCATTTAAGATCAGTTATAACTGAACTTTCCAGGCAGAGGGCGAAACCTTGGGCAAGTTTCCTTACTCCACACAGAGCCTAATAATAATCCCTCCAAAACTAAAAACAATAATAAATTGGTCATTTTCAATCTACGACTGTTTGTGGGACATTGCTGTGCGCAATTGGCTGCCGCGTTTGCCCACAAATATACAGTCAATTCACTTTACAGTGTACTCTGTGAAGCGCTTTGGGACGTCCTCCCGACGTGAAAAGCGCTATATCAAATGCAAGGATTATTATTATTATTATTATTAACTTCTTTTTCAATAAAAACTCTTAAAATGAGATCTTTCCATGTAAATGTTAAATCAAGTCAAATTTGAGATCCTACAATGATGTAAAGAAGAACCATTGAAGGTGTCTTATCTGTTCTTGGTTTTGATCATAGGTTTCATTCTCTCACAAGCTGTGCTCCCTCGGCCTTTGTTCTGCTCTTTTGAACATTTGTAGCATTTACTTCTGTCACTTTTTAAAAAATAGACGTTGCCATGATTCAGATCCTAGTTTCCTTGCTGTTGTGTTCTGCCCCTGCTCTCACTTCCTCCTCTGCACTTTCACTCTCCTCTGGTGACCGTTTGCCTCTGTCTTGCGTTTCACTGCTGTCTCCTCAGTAGCTTCCCCCTCTCTATCACAGCTTTGATTTGTCTCGTTGCTGCTCCTCTGTGTCAGTTTTTACTCTGTACTCCTGTGCTACTTCACCATATCTCCATCATGTGGTTTAAGGACAGGCGTGCAGCAGAACATGGATCAGAACATGGACACGCACAGCTTGGACACACAAAGGGAAAAATTGTAACATGAATACAGAATTGCACAACTTAAATTCATCAGTATGAAAGTACATGGCAAACGTGTAATAACTGGTCATTTGAGATTCAAGTGAATCCATCACACAAATACCTGCTCCCGCTTGAAAAGGACAGGAAACAGAGGGGCTCAGAATAAAATAACATTTGTGTATCATAGAAAAATAGAAACAGGAGTAGGCTATGCAGCCCGTTCTGCCATTTTATAAGATCATCAGCAAGTAATTCAATGAGAAAAATCCAGCACCCAGTGCACGATTACAGTGAGATTGGTTCATTATCAAGTCCTTACCACCTGCATATTCACTATTGTTTATCTCTTCTTCAAACTCATCACTGAACCCTTTTCCTGAATTCAAGAGATCTAGTCGCCCATCAATGAACTGGAAAACAAAAGCATTTTTGTTAAGAATAAATAGAAAAGAGGGTCGGTCCGGGTGAGCTATTAAACCGCCCTGGCACCAGCACAGGGCAAGCACATCATTGTATGAACACCACTTGAGCCCTGTTATAACACTGCTGATACATTTGAGATGATTAATAGAACCCAAGGCTTGAACATCACTGAATGAATGAAGGACAAACCACTACTCTAAATGCTATATTTTTATCATTGACTTGACGGGCCCAAAGAGGTGAGCTGTAACCCATTTCATTGCTCAGAACTACACCAAGCTTATTATCAGGGGAGCGGGATGCCATTAGATCATAGCCAGACATTGATTGAATGCAATGAATTATACCTTGTTCATACCTTCATCGCCTCCAGGCTCGACTACGCAAATGCCCTGCTTGTCGGCCTTCCCAACTCCTTCCTCCACAGGCTGCAGATAATTCAGAGCTCTGCAGCCTGTGGCCTCTCCCGCACCAAACTCCGTGACCCCATCTCCCCCACTCTCGCCCGACTCCACTGGCTCCCTATCCTTCAGATCCTGGTCCTCACCTACAAAGCCCTCCATGGCCTCGCCCCACCCTACCTCTACCACCTACTAACCCCCTACCAACCCGCCCGTTCCCTCCGCTCAGCCGCTCTGGCTGCTCCACGTCCCCCAACCCACCCGCCCCACCATTGGCGGGAGAGGCTTCAGCCACTCTGCCCCCAACCTCTGGAATTCCATCCCCCAGTCCAGTTAATAGGCAGTTTTATAAACTCAAAATCAGAGAAATGAACTCATGTTTAAGACATCTCTGTGGCTTCACTGAGCTAGTATCAACTTCATGTTAGACTATTGAGATAAAGCAATACAGACGGGAGATTACTACACTGTGAGAGGTGGTTTACGAGGGGAGGAGTGACGACCACCAATGTGCATGGTACATTCTATTAATTTGTTTCATAGCTGAGGCAAGAAACAATAGGAAGCTGATCTCATTAAGAAATCATCACCTTCTTTATGAGTGTAATGGAGAACAAGTCTGGTTTCCAACAATCTGGATATTGCCCAGCTGTTCACACCAAACCTGCTCACCGTAATGTGTTGTGCTGCAAGTAACCTCTAACTCACACACGGCTCTCTTAACCTCCAACTCATACACGGCTCTTTTAACTTACAGCTCTCTCAGCTTTTAAAACTCTGTAATTTCAAAGAGTTCAAACTTTTCAAATCTATTGTTAAATAGATAAGCAACGTGGAAGGAATGTTTCACTGCAGTCTCCACCAGGCAGCACTTTTAGTATGGTTGGGTTTTGCCACACTACTTGACAGGAAGGAGACAGAGCATTTGGAACATGATGATGAAGAGTACTTGCTTTCAAGCTAACACCTGTCCAGCATGGCTCTCCTCCCCCATTGCTCTTCTTCAGTGTTCTTCCCTCTGTGTCTCCTGACGCCATTTGCCTTCAGTTTCCTTCCTCTGGGTTACGGGCCAGAGGCAACTCGCTCAAGGGGCCGTGTTTCACAAGATCTTTGACAGTGACTGTTGGGTAGGCTATTGGACTGAGGGGAGCTAGCTCAATCCAGCAGGAGTCAGGAATGCAGTGTAGGCAGGGTGGTATGCCAAAAAACACAGTAAATCAATCGCTTACCTGTTTAAAAAGCTGTAGCTGAATGGCATTCTGCAGGAACTGCCTCATGGCACTGGAACGATGTGAAACAAAAATGTCTTCACAAAAAGTTATTGGTTCCTCCTGCAAACAATCATAGGATTTGAATGTTAAGCACAGTGGCTCATCATTGGTTGCCAATTACACAGCATATCCATTTAAAATTGGACTGACACAACTGTATTAGCCTCCTTATTCTGATATTCAAACTCATCCCCACCTAATGGATAACCTTACACCTTCTTGACAAAGAATTCACATTGACATTCGTTTAGAATTTAAGCAGAACTTTCCCAAATAAAAATAGTTAGCTTCCACCTGATCATTGGTTGAAAACATTCTAGAGTTATGATGGTTAAAGCACCTCCATTTCCATGGACTAATCGGCTGAGACTATTTTGCCTGCATTTTTTAAACTATTTTGGTATTATTTGTAGTTTACCGATAAAATTAAAAAGTGCAGAAAATATTCAATTGAACTAACAGCTGTAACTAACTTCAAACAACAAAAACAACAAAAGGTGAGGGTAGGCAGTGGCTCAGTGTTGCCGCCCCACACACTGTACATAGGGGTCAGGTCAGGTGAGCAGGAGAGCGTTCACACCTCCAATCAACAAGAGAACGAGAGCCATAATTAAGGAAATGACAAACCATCATGAGATCACAAGACCCAGCTCTGCTGTCGAGTTCTGTTTTAAGAACAATGTGCGAAGAAAACCAGACAGGTTCAGTAATCAAGTTGGAAGTGACTTTGTGCTAAAGTGGAAAAGGTGTCGTGAGTTATCTTCTGATGCATTTCTAACACTGTAAACATTACACAATTTAACCCCAAAATTTACACAGATCACTGGCCCAAATTTCAGGTGTTCACGCAGCAAAATTTACACAGATCACTGGCCCAAATTTCAGGTGTTCACGCAGCAAAATTTACACAGATCACTGGCCCAAATTTCAGGTGTTCACGCAGAAGAACATAATAAACAAAATAAAAATCCTTTCTTTTGATACAGTAGTTTGTTCGGTTCAATTGAACCCACTCTCACCCACTCAACAAACAGTCACTACACTTTACAGTGCATCCTGCGAAGCGCTTTGAGACATCATCCTGACGTGAAGGCGCTATATCAAATACAATATTAAAGATAAAGATTAGTCACCATGTTTGGCATCATGTTTTAACATGAATAGATGGAGGTGAAGTGCATCTCTGACAGCGTGGAGTTCTGTTGTGTAGTGCCTCGTGCACTCACCTCGCAAGAGAGAGGACTCGGGTTTGATTCCTGGGCAGGGTGAAACCTTAGGCAAGTTTCCTTACTCCACACGCCTCTGCTTAGCTAACAGTAAGCAGGAACCTGGTTGTTTGTCGGTCGATTGTCGGATCGCTTTTGGAGGGCTAATAATCCCTCTAAAAAAAATTATAATTTGATCACTCAATCCACAATTGTTTGTGGGACACCTCTGTGCACAATTGTCTGCCACGTTTCACCCACAAAATACTCAAGTCGATACACTTTACAGTACATCCTGCGAAGCGCTTTAAAATGTCTCAACGGCGTATCAAATGCACGGATTATTATCATTACTGTTTATTCTAATGCCAACGCTATCACTTGCTGTTATTTTGCAGGATTGTGAAATACGGAAGCTACTTTACCTTTCATTCAAACTTCATTTCAATGACCTAGGTGCCAAAGAAATTGATCGAGAGGCAAGGGAGAGATTTATAGCGGAGGATTTTTAGCCCTTGGAACTTTTCTGGGTTTTGGTTCTTTCTGGCCAACCGTGTCCCCCGACAACAACAAACAACTTATGTTTAAATTGCAGCCTTCACGTGGGGGTAGCGCTAAAGAGATTTGTGCTCTGATCGTCAAAACAGACACAAAACAATCTCTGGCTTTAAATATCTGCTTGCGCCTTTACTTCCATTTGCTACCATTTTGCCTCGCGAGGCAAAATGGTAGCAAATGGAAGTAAAAGCACGAGCAGATACTTAAAGAAAGAAGACAGTAAATGGTTGAACCTTCGTGTGGGGGGCAGCAAACCTGATAACCACACGGAATTGGGTCGTGAGGACCACTGGAGCATCTGGCTCCGCGAGCAGCAGTTTACAGGTCTCGTTGAGTTGTTGTGGTGACTCTCACGTGACTGGCTCAGAGCTGAAACTCCAGGGCACAGATCCAAATGTGCTGCTAACGTGCTCTGACAGTCAGCAGATGGGCAGCGATTCACGAGGCCGCAGTCTGTGCCAATTCCGCTGGCCCTCCAGGCCTACCTGCATCTCGCTATTTCTCTTTCCATTTCACAAACGAACGGCTGCCCTGGTTTGGAGCCACAAGCCCTCCCTCTGCCTGTGCTGTGAATCTTGGTTACGAAGTAGCTTTCCCTTCTGGTGGGGGTGGAAGCTAACCAGCCACAGTTTGTGCTCCGTGTTATAAGTGACTTGATCCAAGTGTTTCAAATCAATGCAGTGAATGTGAGGACTGCAGAAGAACAAGCTGCAGCGAAAGCTGGAGAGGGCCTAATGTCTTCTCTCAATTGCAGTGATATTTGGATTTGATTAGCACCCGGTATTTACGAGGGCATTTGCATGTACAGACACTGAGATCTCGGCTGGGGGAAAAACATCAACTTTTTACAAGAGTTGGTGACATGTCCACAGTTACAACTCATCTGAACTTGTTTTTCCTCTTGTGATTCCTATTCATCAAATAAAGTGTGAAAATTAATGGTCTGTAAATGTACCAGCTCGCTGACTGGAGGCGAGGGGTTTACTCTGGATAACAAATAACTGCTCAGTAACTTGTGATAACTCCTCCGGTTACTCTTCTCTCGTTGACAGAAGCTCATATAGTGGTTCTTGACCAATTGTGACCAAACCCAGTGGAAGGGAAAGGAAGTGTGCGGTGCGGGGCATGTATACCCTAAGGGCTCAGGTAACAGATTGCGGAGGATAGATTTCTGTTAGGTAGGGTATCAAGGGATATGAGGTAAGGGCAGGTAATTGGAGTTGAGCTACAGAATGGCGGAACAGACTTGAAGGGCTGAATGGCCTACTCCTGTTCCTATGTTCCAATGTTCATGGTGTCACCTGAGCCCTGAACCAAGCTGACGGCCTGGTAATCACTACTGGGTTTTGTTGTAGTTGTTCTCTATTCTCTGCCCAACTTTCTGAAGTGCTGCTTAGAAGGAAAGATGAAGCAAAGCCATGCTTGAATGGTTTAATAGTAATTTGATGTTTAAAGGGGTTAAAGGCAAGCAACCAATGACAGAACAGTGAAGTTCTGGATTCAAAGCCAGAAAACCAGCTCCTGGCAACCGTGTGTGGTGTTGGTTTCCTACTCAGCACTTCCTCACACAATGAATGTCACTGCGCAGGCGAGGCAGGTGGAGACATTAATTAAAGGGTTAGGCAGATTTACCTGGATGAGGTATATATTTTTCCGCTCCTTGTGTCCCATGGAAGAAGCCTCCCTGTGGAGGGGGGGAAAGACTCATTAATGAGGCTAATTAGGTGTAAAGGGTTAGACTCTGGCATCAGCTGCAGCTTACTCCAGTTAATGACTAAATGCTGTAATCTCTACCGTGCAAGAACAGCTGAGCTGACTCCTCTGTGCCTGACATGGTTGTTGAGGGTGGCTCCGACACCTGAGCACCTGACCACAAAGCAAACTCAAAGACAAAAAGAGCCCCTTTAACTGTTTCAGCTCCAGCAGCAGACGCAGCTCATTATTGGGACCGTCGCTTAGGACTCAAAGACAAATAGTCACCCGTGTTAAAAGCTGCAGCAGTTGCGGTGAAGGTTGACTCCACTACACACACATTTTTAAGGAAATTAGTTGAGAACAAAGAGTGGTGCTGAACCACCCTGAAATGGCTGACGCACATTAGGACTGAGTCACTTGTGAGGCGAGGGCGAGAGCTTCACTTCTTTTGATTAAGGAATGCTTCTTGTAGCTTTCAGTGTATTGCAAGCAAGATTTACATAATTGTTTATCAGACCCTTGGAAAAAAATAAGCAGAATGTCAGCCTATATTCCAGAATAGAGAGCCACAAAAATAGCATTTGATGCAGGCTTATCCTCTGACAACTAATGAACCCTTTACATTCTGCAGATGTAATTCCACATCTTTAAATAACAAAGGTTGAAGAGTTTGGGAGAAGAGTGTCTGGATTTGACATCAAGAATAGACATTGTGATTTCGCACAGTGCAGCAGTCACACTCGCACGTTCTCTGGCTGGTGTAAGGTTTCAGCCACCCTAAGGATATGGCACCAGACGCTCACAGCTGGTGCAAGTTCCGTTGTGTGCCAGGAAATGGCAACTCTCTCTCCACACTAAACTCTGTGCTAGATCATCCCACCCTTGCACTGAACTGGTTCCCTTCCACACCGTTAGCCTCTATAGTTTAACAAGTGAGAACAGGTACCACAAGACTCAGGTAAATGTTTAAAGGCAGTTGAGATGAGGGATATACTAAAAAGGAATCAGTGACTTGGTTAGCGAGGGTGCAGTCACAAGATTTACCTGTTAGTTATCAATAGAAAACATCTCACAATCACTGCCACTGAGTTTATTGCTGAGATTGGAGGGAGAAAGTCTCCAACCGCAAACGTGGAATCTATGAAGAAAATGACTTTACTCTCTGACAGAGATAACACAATGTGTTTCTTATTGAGCTCCTTTCTCTCAGTCAGTGTCCACACTGAGCCTCTTTCACCCATGACGGTTTCCAATGGAGAAGCAAGCACCAGCAATCGTCCGTATGGGTTGAATGGCCTCTACTGTGAGTGGTGCCTTTTCATGCTAACCAAACGGTTTCTACTTGTTCGTTCAAAACACGCAGTTACTACACTTTACAGAATATCCCTGAAGCGTTTTGAGAGGTCCTCCTGATGGGAAAGGTGCTGTTATCAAATTATTACAACAACAAGATTACATTTGTTTAGCGCCTTTCATATCGGAAGGACATCCCAAGGCATTGGACAGTATACAGCGTTTCAGACCCGAGCTGGGGTCAGGGGGGAGAAGGGAGGTGGCCGATGGCCTGGTCGAAGAGGAGGATCTTGAAGCAGGACGTGAAGG